GTAATCATAATCATAATCAAAATCTGAATTGGAGACTGGCCCCCATATCTGGCAAAGGTTCTGGTAACCAGGGTTTAATGGCCATAAAGTTCTAGGTTTTTTCTTAAAAGGGAGGAATCTCTATGACAGTCGTAAAGGAAGATCTATAATCGTTACCTATTTCTTCTTATTTTCTGTCTTTGTTTGAGTTGAAAGACTACACTTTTTTAGGCTTTACAATTAATTTTAGTTATGAATAACATTAGTTGTTGTTTTGTTGAAAAATCTACATTGCTATAAAGGTATAAGATATATTCCAACTATGCCTTATTATATTCTTTTATCTGTTACTCTTTCTTAATTTTGTATTCTAGTTCTCTCTTTATACTCTGCCTTTTTGTTAAGTTCAATAACAATAATTTTAGTTTGTTGTTGTATTGTTGAAATATGTACATTGTTGGAAATGTAAGAAATATATTCCAACTATGTCTAACTAAAATCATTTTCTGTAAATCCTTCTTCCCTTTTTATCTTTATAATTTTTTTGTTGAGTTCAACAACAACACCTTAAATTTGTTGTGGAATTGTTGAAAAATATAGATTGTTGGAAATGTATATTTACAAAAAGAGACTTTCTTGATAAATACATATACATAAAAATATTATTCATTCCCTCCCAAAATGCCTTATACTCTCGTTACGCACTATCGCCACACCAACATCATCTACATCATGATTGTCGCCATTGCCACAGTCATAGTTCGTAGTCGTCGTCGTCGTCGTCGTCGTGCCCAGCTCATTATTTTTATGAGTCTTTGTGTCTGTCCCTCTTCCCCAGCAAAGTGATCTAAATCTATTGACCGAACGAACCAACGAACTCCCCTATCAAAGAAGACTCGTACACCTGAGAACTGAGAACTAAGAACTGGCTTTAATGTTACTCAAACTCCAACTTCAACTCAAACCTACTCTTCATTATATTTTTGTTTTTGTTGGAATAAAACTATATATACACGTTCGTGTATTTTTTATTGCCATTCATGCATAATGCCAAAAAGATAAATAACAAATAAATTTCCTACTATGTACTATTCTTTTTACTCTCTTTCCCATCTCTGTGTGGTAATTATTAATAAATGCCTGCCCACCTGCGTCCCGCAGACCATGCCCTCTAATAGTGTTCACGCTTCGCTTGGCATTGAAGAAGACAACACCAAAGACGAAGACGAAGACGAAGACTTTAGACTTGGCTAAGAAGACTCTCCACGAAGACTGGTGACTGGGCCGTGCCCTTAGCGTTCCAAAGAGCCAAACAACCGAAGAACCGAACAACCAATTGTCTTTTGGCATATTTTCAAGTTGAACGCTCGCCGCGTTTTTTTTCTTTTTTTTTTTGCCTTCTATGTATTTTTCTACCATCTAAGCCATCTTCTTTTCTAGAGATTTTCTAGTGCGATTAAGCGAAAAACGAAACAGTCTCATAAAGAATACACCTCTTCTACGTCTCTCTATGTCGCTCGACTGACTGGCTCATACATAAATATTGTGGAAAATTGTGGCCGGGAAAAATGGTGGAATTGAAGGAACTTAAATTGCAGAGCTAGCCTCAAACTTGGGCCAAGTTCAATGGCAAATAGTGGGAAGTTCATTGGCAACTGTAACAATCTATATACATTTTCAAAATAGAATAGAAACAGTCTACAAAAGATTCTTGCTGAAAAAGGAAGTACTTTTGCTTCTAAAAAATAAAAAGAATGTAGTTCAAGAAGCGAAATTCTGGAGAAATGTAATCTTATAAAGGTAAAAAAGCGTTAATAAAGTATTTAACTAATATCTTATTTAAGTAAAAGAAAGAATCTGCTTTTTAATGCAGAAAATATTACATAGATATCATAATAATATAATAGTTAATAATTAATCTGCCTTTTAATACATAGTATATATCATAATAAGACTTAAACATTCATATATGTCATAATGAGTATATTATCAAGACTTAAACATACCCAAAAGTTCACTCTCCACCCACTTTATTAACCTTATTGACTGTCTTAATTCATAAATATCTAATAATACCCCTTAATAGCTATAAATTCCTTACCCATTCTTAACAAAAAATGAAAAAAGATGACTATGGAATTTATGCAAAAACCTTCTGCAAAACCATCAACGCCCGCTGTCAGCTCACCAATAACCCATTCAAAAGAGACTGGAGTCATTCATTCACTCACTTCATTCATTCATTCATGCATTCAGTTTGAATCGGAAAGAAAAACCCTTTGATTGGGATTGGGATTGGGATACAGAGACGGGATACCACACATCACCCTCGCAAAGAACTGCTTTGCATATTGACATCATCATTTTGCTGGAGACGACAAACTGTCAAACAAAACAATTGCTGTCAAATTTACAACAATGAAGCCAGCAAAAAATGGAGCTGTCAAACTTTTTATGGGCAAAGAAGCAATTTCAACATATCAATAAATTTTTTTTTTTTTTTTTTTTTGTTGTTAAGATGTCAGAGAGAGAGAGGGAGAGAAAAGGAACGAAGAAAATTTCGATAACCGGGGAACACCTTTTCAATAAATTTGCTACAACTGTCAGCGAAACAATGTCATTGTCACGACGCCCTCGCCAAGGAGACTTCACCCCTTTTCACTATATAGTATATATATATATATATTTGTGTATATATATATATTCTCTTAAGACAGGGAAAAAGCGACCTATAAACCTGTCACAGGACCCAGGGCGCACATTCAATTGAAGGCAAGGGACCCTGGTGGAATGACAACGGGAAAACGACGACATTATTGTCGCTAAACAAACGATCAAATGGCAATTTAAAAGTTTTTATTTAACACTAAATCACCCACACCAAAAAAAAAAACCGCCGAGAAGCCACTGCCGCCACCTGACATTCGCTTTCTTTTTCAATTTCGAACCCTTTCGTCCTTTTCGTCCTTTTCCCCATCAACCCCTTTCTTTCTTTTTTTTTGCGCGATTTTCAATAACTTTTACCCCGCCAAACAAAAGGCGCAAAACTTTAGCGACTTAAATTATGGGCCTTGTCTTCGTCCTTGTCTTTTGCTCTCTCTTGTTGTAATTTTTGTTTTGTATTTATTTGTTGTATATTTTCTTTTTTTTTTTGTTGAGCTCATCGACTGACTTCTGGTTCTCCCCAGGGAATTTTGTTGCATGCATGAAAAAATATATGTATATATTTCATATAACAACGCAGGCGGGAAAAGGGGTTTTTTTGGAGTTGGTTTAAAGACAATTCAGGGTTTTCTTAGTTTCAAAACAATACAAAAAAAAAAAATAGAAGAAATTCCTTTCCTTTCGCGCTTTTATATTGATATTGGTTAAGGACATTTGACACGGGGTTAAGCGCCAGCTTAAGGGTCCTGATTGGTTGACCCTGAAAAACCCTTTTGCCCGGAAGTAGGTTTTGATTTCAGCTACTTTGGGGTTTTACCTGTGTGACCGGCTTTGAAGGGGTTTCTTTAATAGAGAAGAGCTTTAAAAATATGCTACAGAGAGTTTTAAGTATTTTTAGGAATTAGAAAAGTTTTAGAAATATATTTAATATAAATTTTAATATATAAATATAAGAGTAACCCGTGCAACATTAAGCTTTTTATAGAGTATAGTCTTACATTATTATTGCATAAATGTTGTTCAAACATTTAAAATGGTAAATATTTATTTTAATGGTTGGGAAATCAGAGAGGTAACTTAAATTATATTTTAGTTTATTAATTTATTTTTATGTATTTATTAGTTTATTTATTGCTTTATATATTTTAAGAAAAACATAAACAGCTACTCTAAACTTATTTGCGACTATCTCTGAAGAGGTGTTCTCACAGAAGGAGTTAAAATATATTATTTATAGAGCTACAAAATATTTAAAAATAATTCAAATGTTGGATATATATTTTTAATATTTTTAATAAATATATTTAGACAAATTTAATATATTTTTATAAGATTAAACAGACCATGTCATTTCAAGGCTTTAATATAGCTTAAACTTGCACAATTATTTGACCTTAGGAAATATCTGGCAAATGTCTATAAAAAATATATATTTCAAAGACTCCAAGCTCAGAATATAATCTTAGTAAAATGTTCACTTATTATTTAATCAAGTAAATTATTAAATAACTAACTTTTCAATTTATAAATAACAATAAGAATTATTTTCCTTTAGAAAATGTCTGTCAAATATTAAAAAAAAAGATATTTCAAAGGTAGAGAGAGTAATACATAATCTTGAGCTAAATTTCAGTTAATTTATTAATGTATTTCTTAATTTCTTATTGTCTTATTCTTCTTATTCTCTAATTTTAAAATAACTAAACTCCCAAAGGCACTATCCTAGGCTTTTATAATGATTTTCCTTTAGAAAATGTCTTTCAAATGTCTATAAAAAAAGATATTTCAAATGTTGAGAACTAAATTTATCTGAAATTATTAGTTAATTTCTTAATTAATTTTCTAATTTTAAAATAACTAAACTCCCCAAGCGCACTGTCCCAAGCTTTTATAATTAGTTTCCTTTGGACAATGTCTATCAAATATCTCTATAAAAAGATATTTATAAACATAATCTACTAAACTAAGTTTAAGTTAAATAACTTATATATTTCCTAATTTTTGCTTAACTTGCATCTTCATTTTCAATTAACTAAACTCCCAAGCGCACTGCCCTTAGCTTTTATAATTAGTTTCCTTTGGACAAAGTCTATCAAATATCTAATATATAAAGATATTTATAAACAATTTTAAACTTAACTTAGTTAAATAACTTATATATTTCCTAATTTATTGGTCAACTTGTATCCTAATTTTGAAATAACTAAACTCCCCCAAGCGCAAAGTCTGTAAAATATCTCTAAAAAAGATATTTATAGACTTAATCTTGAACTAAATTTAAGTTAAATCACTTATATATTTCCTAATTTATTGGTCAACTTGTATCCTAATTTCGAAATAACTAAACTCCCCCCAGACGCACTGTCCCAAGTTTGGAATTTATTTAGTTTCAATTATTAAACTGACATAAGATATTAAATCAATGGGGTTCCGAGACTAAAAATGAACTTGGCCGTCTTCAGGACCAAGAGATGTCCTATTTCCAGACTGGCGGGACATGACGATGACGACTTCCCCGGCCGTGTTTGGACATGAAGGCAATGCTGAGGCGGCGCTTGGAACGCTTCATGGCCTCCTTGGAGTCGGAGGGTTGGATGAGATCAGCATAGCTGCCCAGGCTACTCTCCACGGGTTTGGGCTTCTTCGACTGTGACCTGCGACGTGGACGAACCCGATCGTCGGAACTAACCGCTGAGGGTGGAGGCGGTGGCAGATGGAAACCCTCAATGGATGGCTTTGCTTGCTTCTTGTTTGATTTCTTGCCAGTTTTGCCACGCTTGGTGACCTTCCAACGTGCCTGGAGAGAGGACGAACGCCTTGTGACCTTTGAACGTTCTTTGGGAATATGATGGGATGACGTCCTCTTGGCTGGCATCCATTCACCACGATGACGACGATATAAACCAGAGCCATAGTTTAATATTTTATCAATTCCCTCCTCTCGTCTCAAATGATGACTCTTGAGGCGTTTCTTGGCCATTAGCGGTATGGAGGAGCTACGCGGACTTGGTTGTTGGGTGGCACCGGCACCACCCTGAAATTGATATGGTGTATACCAGGGAAAGTCCACTTTACGCATCTGATGACCCACATGAGTGCGGGATTTCCGGGGTTTCATTACCTCATCTTGATCCTGCTCCTCCCCATCCTCCTGCTGCCGCTGCTCGTTCTGATGATGTTGCTTCTTTTGTTGCTTCCTTTGCTGCTGCTTTTGCTGCTGTTGCTTCTTTTGCTGCTGCTTTTTCTCACTCCTTTCCAGGCTACCGGCAACCAGGCGACGTGTCTTGATCTTTGGCACCAACCAGGGTTTATCATAATTCCGGAAGGATGTCTGTACCGGTGTTTCGGCCTCTTCCGGTGATCTCTCTACCTCTCGTGCTCTCACCTGCGATTGGGTGGTTTGTGGGAATGCCTTGGCCAAAGCTTTGGTTAAAGCCTTGGTCAAAACCTTGGCGGTTAAAGTCTCCTCCTGTTGCCGGGTCTTGGGGAAACGACGTGAGACCACTGTGGTGGCTGTTGTGGTTGAAGAGGGTGAACGGGCTACGGGTGAAGGTTGGCGGCGCCGGAAGCGGGAACGGTAACGTTTGGGTGAGGGGGAACGGTAACGTTTGGGGGAGTGGGAACGGGAACGGGAACGGGAACGGGTTTTGGTCATTGATTTGATCACCCGACGTCTTTGCTTTGGTTCCATTTCCGTATCCGTATACGTATCCGTATCGGTTATTACATCTATGTCTTCACTCTTGAATTTTTCAACCTGCTTGTAGGACTTTCCTTTGATGGGTTTTAGATACCTGCCCGACTTGGTTTTTAGCGGTGATTTGGCTTTACTTTCAGTCTTCACCTGCGACTTGGATTTGATCTTGTTTAAGGATGTGATTTTGGTTGATTTGGTGGCCAAAACAGTTGGTTTCCTGGTTATTCCTATTGTTTTCCGAGTGGAACCCGCTGGCAAACGATGATGAGAGGAACTGGATTTCTGTATTCTAGAAGTTCGTTTGGTCTTGACTTGAGGTGAGGCTGAACGGGAACGAAATGGTGAACGTGTCCGGGAAGCTGTTCGCTGCTCTTGTTTCATATCCTTAACAACAACCAGAGGTTGAGTCTTTGTTGGCATTTTCTTTAAAGTCTGAACAGACTTTCGAGGTGATCTCTTTGACTGAGCTGTAACCAACTTTGTGGTGGAAATACCTTTGCCAAGCGTACGAGCTGGAGTAGGAATTGATACCTTCCTTGGCATGGTCGTTGCTGAAGCCACCAGTTTGGTCTTGGATCTTGGCCTGAATTTAATTTGTGAGCTTACCCTGGATGTCTTCAAGTTCTTCTTGTTTTGATCTTTGCGATGAAATTTCTTTGCCATTCGTGGATCCAATAGCAGGAGATCATCGAGTGCCTCCTTGGATTGGGCGAGGAGATTTAAGAAATTTAAACGTTCTGGCTTGGCATAATACATGTGACCCTTGTAGTCATCCACTTGGCCAAGATTATGATGCTCCGCCACCACCTGGGCCACCACACGCTTGAGGGTACTCCTATTGAGATTCATATGTTGGGCCACATTCTTGGCCAGGGCTTTGAGAGCACCACCTGTACCTCCCAACGGTCTCATTGTCCAGATATTCTCCAATATTCGTTCATTCAACACGGGCTTCGAATATACCTGAGAGCTGGAATGGCTTTGGGTTGGCACCGATGCTCGGGACTGCGGCATGTCTGGACCCGGGAAACGACAAAAACTACGAATTTGTATGCAAATCGAAAAAGGATAGCGAGAATAATTCTATTATATATTCCTTTTGGGGTTTTCTTTCTTTTTTTGGTTTCTTTCAAAAATTTTGGGGGGTCAAACTTTTTAAAATCTTTTGATATTTTACTTGATGTTACTTTCGAACGATGTCTGTGGGCTATGAATTCTGCTGTAAAAATGAAAATCTATTCTATATAAATGTATGTAGATTCCAATGGCAGTGCGATCTGGGAAAAAGTTGAAAAGGGTGTTGAGAAAATTGGATTTGACTAGAAAATGACAGTGTGCTTGGGTTTTAAGTTATAAATAAAATATATATTTTATAAAATGTATAAAAAATGGTAAAATACTTAAGGAATTGAGTTTGTAAGAATATAAAATAGCGTAAACTCTATCTAAAAATCTCCCTTATAACAAAGTTATTAATTAGAAAAGATGAAGAATAAAATAAATAAGATAATTAATAAAGGAATTAAATTGGAATAACATTTTCAAGACTTTCAAGGAACTTAAACTCTATGTAAAAGCAAGAAAGGAGACTAATTTAAGAAAGCTAAAGCTTCTATACCCTTGTAATTACTAAGTAATTAATTAAGCATAAAATATTTGAATTCTTTAAATCGATATTTATCAATATTTTTATATGACCATTTTTTCGTCGAATTAAATCTTAAAAAACTCATAACTGCGCTAAAAATTCATTAATTTTAATTCGAAAAGCTGTTGTTTGCTAATTTTTATTAGCTTAAAAAATCTACATACTTAATTTACAATTTTAAAAAATTGAAATTTTTATTAATTTTTTGTTTCCAATTTTAATAATGAAAATTTTCAAAAAAAATTTTAATATTTTTTTTCCTGCAGAAGACGGCTAAATAGACTCGCCTTTTGATGCTGATCAAGAATATATATGATTTATAGGGTCGGAAATGGCTCCTTCACTTAGTTTTCAGCTTCTGACTAAAATTATAATACCATTTTTTAATCGATATTAACTTTATTTTTATATGAACATTTTTATAATAAATCAAAGTTTAAAAATCTCATAACTAAGCCAAAAGAGCATTAATTTTAAATCGGGAAGCTGTCCTGTTTTAGTTTTTAATAGGTTGACAAATCTGCATACTCATTTTACATTTTAATGAAAATTAAATTTTTATCAATTTTTTTAAATTGAAATGATGAAAAAATTACGATAAAATTTCGAAAAAAATTTGTTAATTTAATTTTTCTTTAAAAGATGGTTAGATCGATTCGCCTGTTGATGCTGATCAAAAATATATATGACTTATAGGGTCGGAAATGACTTCTTCACTTAGTTTTAAGCTTCTGACTAAAATTATAATACCATGATTTAATAGATATTATCTATATTTTTATATGCAAATTTTACGACAAATCAATATGTAAAAAAACTCATAACTCAGCCAAAAATTAATTAATTTTCATTCGGAAAGTAGTTTTATGCTAGTTTTTAATCGGTTAATAAATCTGCATACTCAATTAAAAATGTAAAAAATTCAACTTTTTATCTTTTTTTTCTGACAATTTATATTTTATACCTCTTAAAATATTTTAAAATTTTGAAAAAAATAAATTTCTTTCAGACATAGCTAGATCGATTCGCCTCTTAATGCTGATCAAGAATATATATGATTTATTGGGTCGGAAATGATTTCTTCACTGCGTAAGATGCTTTTGACTAAAATTATAATACCCTGGAAAATGTATAATAAAACATGCATTTTCAGTTCTAGAAGTAAGAAAGTTTCAATTTAAACTGGAGAAATATTTTATGAATTTGGTTAGAATTCCATTTGCAGGTATAAAAACTCCCCCAAAGTCTCATTAAAAATATTTTTAGGGTTATTATTTATTTTTGAAGATAATAAAAATGTAAAAACCTATCGGAATTTATAATAAAATATTTAAATATTTTATTTTCTAACGAAAAACTCGCCGTTTTATTATTTATTTTGAAAGAGAATAAAAATATAAAAACCTGTCGGATTTTATAATAAAATACTTAAATATTTTTTTTTTCTATCGAAAAACTCGCCCTTTTATTATTTATTTTTGAAGAGAATAAAAATGTAAAAACCTGTCGGAATTTTTAATAACGAAAAACTCTCCCTTTTATTATTTATTTTTGAAGAGAATAAAATATAAAAAACAGTCGGATTTTATAATAAAATATTTAAATATTTTATTTTCTAACGAAAAACTCGCCCTCTTTCGCTCTTTTATTTCCCTGTTAAATCATCATTTCGATTAACCATCTTTATGTGAACTTGAAACATTTATTTCTTGGCCATCATTAGAGACAGCTGAAAGCCGAGCAGCTGCCCCACCACTACCAAAAAAAGACAAAAATACAACCGATCACCGATCAGTAGCCACGTGCTAAAGGACCAAAGACAAGTGACCCCTCTCCAGATCCTGCTCCCTCTCCTGCTCCTTATTCTGACCCTACTCCTTCTCTTGACCCTGCTCCTCATCCATATCAATGGGCACCGAAAATGGGCAATGAAGCGTGTTGGGAAAACACCAAAGTCAACGGTGAAGAAGAAGTTACCTGCAAAGGAGCAAAGGAAAAGCCAACCAACGATGTCTGAAGACCGCAAAACAAATGCAGGAAGGGAGGGAGAGGAAAAATTATAAATGATTTCATTAAGGTGAGAAAGGGAACCCGAGGGTCGTCGTAGGTCAGAAACCAAACTGAGGCAATGCACCTGCATTTGCTGCACCTTGGGCAGGTGAAGAAGGTAGGTTCCCTGTTTTTTTCTTTTTTTCTTAGGGGTGGGAAAAATGATTTACACACAGAGTGCGAGTGCTCTCTCTCTCCCTCGATGATGATGATGATCCGCTTGAGTGGAGGTTAGGGAAACCCAAATACAAGTGAAGAAAACCCTTTGCAAAGTTCAATACGGAAGCAGAGGGTTTCCCCCTTTTCGACTCTTCTCTTCACTATTCTCTCGTTTGGGCCACTTAACCGTAATTAGGGCTTTTCAATATTATTAATGATGATGATGGTCGCTGGTCTGTGGGAAATGCTTGTGGACAATGAATGCAAAAACTGCAAACTGCAAACACGCAAACCCAAAAGCGCAACAATTTTCGAATAGCAATTTTTGTGCCGCTTTTTTTTATTTTTGATGGCTCCTCTTCGCTCTATTTGACTCTTGTTTTGTTTTGTTTGCACTTTGGTGGTGGTTCCAAGCCATCCATCCATCCATCCATCCATCCATCCATCTATCCATCCATCCAGCTATCCATCCATACGTTTTTAGCGTTATCAGTGCAAAATAATCTTTCAATCAGCCCTATAGAGTATGGTGGCCTTTGGTGGTTGCTGCATGCTTTTGTGGCTCTACTCCCTTTGGACTGCTGGCAACGGAGCGTGACGCCAATTGTTGCAACTTGCAACTTGCAGTTGCAGTGGCAGTGGCAGAAGCAGAGTTCTGCAGCATTTCCAAGGGCAATGGGATATATGGTGGCTTTGGCAATTACACTACCAGGAACCTATCGACCAACACACACAACATATTCACCTGTTGGTCATGGAAATAAGTTAAGGGGGTCGGGAAAATCATGTGGGAAAAGGCAGCACACAGAACGTCCTTGTTAAATGTTAAATTCAATGGAAAATGGTAGGATTAGGGACAATACAATAGATAATATTTATATTTTGTGTAAATATTGTATAAATAATAAATTAATTTTTATAATTTTTGAAAAATTTCGTACATTTTCTTTGATCTCATTTAATTAAAATATTAAAAACGACTTAGAACTTTTGATCATCTAATTTAAATAAATTGTAAAGGAATCCCTCTTCTAGTTTTGGGAGTGCAAAAAACATAATATTTAATATTTTATATATAGTATAATATATATATATATAATATATATATATATATATATAAATATGCCATTTAGGTAATTGTATGTATTTTTATAACCTTCCAGGGTATTACAATTTCAGTCAGAAGCTAATAAAATAGGGAAGGAGTCATTTCCAACCCTATAAACTATATATATTCTTGATCAGCATAAAAAGCCGAATCGATCTAGCTATGTTCCATAAAAATTTTAAATTTAAAAAAAAATTCAACATTTTTAAATTTTAAATTTTAAATTTTAAAAAAATTTCAACATTTTTAAGGGGCTTAAATTGTCAAGAAAAATATGAAACAAATTTTAAATTTTTTACATTTTTAATTGAGTATGCAGATTTATTAATCTGCTAAAAACTAACATAGGAAAGCTTTCCGAAGTAAAATTATTGCATTTTTGGCTTAGTTATGAGTTTTTCAATTTTAGATTTGTCGTAAAAATTGTCATATAAAATATCAATTGTCAATACAAAAATAAACGAATATTTTAAGCTTAGTTATGATCGGTTTCCGATTTTAGCCTATAATTTAATTGCTAACTGCTTGAAGATATAAACTTTGGCTTTCCCTAGTCTATAATTAAATACATTAAAATTCGTCCTTAATAATTGTTTCATTTTTAAAGATGCAAAATCCTTATATATACATTTTTTAGATATTTTTTACTATAGTATAGTATCTTATAGATTTATTTAAGTTACATAACTCCAATTCCCAGACCTTCTTCTACTTCCGCACTCTCTTTTGGCCCACGAAAAACCAACTAAAATAAAAATAAAAAATAAATAAAAAAAAAGGAAAGAAAACAGACAACAGACAAACGGAGCTGAGACGGAAAGCGACCAGCGACCGGCGACCGGGAATCATTTAAGCATTGCGGTGTGAAATTTCACACCGATTGCAATAAACATTCAACAATAAAAAGTACAACAAAATATACAACAACAACAACATAAAGGCAAGGAGAGAAAGGCCTCGAAAAAAAAAAGAAAAACAAAAACTAAAAGCGAGAAGAAACCCTTTGCAATGTGGCACAAAATCAATCAAACAGACGACGGGGCAACGGGCGACGGACTGCGCATGCGCGCACGCCGGATGTGGATGTGTTGTTGGCAAACGGCTACCAGGCGGCATGGGTTAAGCTGGACGGGGGGGTTAAGAGTACACACACTCACACACACACACACACTGGCTGCTGCTGGTGGCGTTAATGGTGTCACTAAGTACGCCGCAAAACAGGCCGCGCTCTGATCATCGAATGGAACCAATAAAAGTCGCCTTCCCATTGTCTTTATTTGCGCGGTTCGGCGAGAGAC